TCAACGTGAAATCCGTCGTCGGCGCTGAGAAAGCCTATTGCGTTTCATTTTAATTTGAATATTAGAAGATACCCACCACTGGAACTTGGACTGATATTATACCAAGGCCGAAGATGATCAAGCTGCCTGCTATATCTGGAGCTTGGTGTTCAACTTCAACATGGAATAAAAAACAAAATATCAAAGCAAACTGGATATGGTACTGCAAGTTAAAGTCCAAAGAAATTTGAAGAGCTGACAATTGACATTAATTCTTTTCCTGCAAGGTTTCCATATGGAGATCACACCATGAAGAAATATTTTTGATGTTAACAGTTGAAAGGGGATTGATCTTCCAGTTTTGACGAAAGACGCTGCTGACTGTCTGGAAAAGGATGTCGGCATGAGGTGCAATTGTGCTTGTGAAGTGGTTATAACTGGTCTTTTCACAGTATTAAATTAAATGTGCCATTGCAGCCAAGTGTGTTATCATGTAAGGTAAAATCAAAACTACAATGTTGGTTTTACGAGCATTGAGAAGGCTGGTAGGTAACACCTGCCTGTGCTCGTAAATCATGCTGCCAAAGTATTGTAAATTAATTTTATCATACACTTTTGTTGTCCAGAATGGTTGCACTATTGTTTGGTATCATATTATTCCATGTAAATATGGTAGTGTAAAGTCCGACCAACATGTTACCAGATTTGAAGCTGTTACGTTACCTAAGTACCTGTTTTTTACTGGCGTGGTGAATGTCACCTGGATTTTGTTTTGAGGTGCAGACCTTGTAACTCTGACTGCATGGGTTTGAAACTATTATCTATTCTGTTTTTACTGGCCTGGTGAATGGCGACTGATGTTCGTGGATGGCACTGAAACAAATTTTGAGTGTCATGTACAGTGTTTTAATACAATGCTGAGGGCTGAAAGTTGTCTTGTTTAGAGTGGTGAAAGTTCAGGATATGCCAGCCACCATGGTGGGTCAGAGTTAATGTGTTGCAGTCAGTTCGGCTTCGGCAAGCACATGGATGGGCATACGCATCAAGACCTGCTCTGCCATACTTTCAGCCAATTTTACCTAGGTAAGTCTTTTCTTTTTTTCTGCCAAAAGCTATGACATTGTGAATTTCAGTGCTGTGGCCTGTGTGTAGCTTTCAGGAAAGCAATTCTTAATAAAGCTCTGATAAAGTGCAAAATCAGCAATGCAGCCCTCTATTACATTTTCTACAACATCTTACTTGTTCCTTGCATGGAGAGAAAAATGCAATGTTATGAATTCGTTTATTCACATAATTTGACAAGCATGCAGTTACCTGCTACTATCACTGCACAAAACAGAGCAGAAAACATCAGTTGATCAAACACAAGACACAACAGAAGTTTACAACATGGGGCTGCCGAACCTGCTTCCTCCCACCACAGTTGATGCCATTTCCTAGCCTGGCTTGATGTGAGCACTGAATAGCTGCTTTGTCTAATTACAGCTCACTACCATTCAACTTAAACTACTATCTTTAAAGTAAGAGTGAGAGCGTTCAGTGTTCATAGCAGCTCGACAGACGACAGACAACAAACATCTTGACAAACCAACCAGTATTTGATTTGGCTAATGATTTATGTGCTTGTTGTATCATGGCCAAACTACTTTAACAGCAATAATCCCTGTTTCATCTTGATCTTGCTTTTATTTCCATTTGAACTCAGATCTTGAAACAATCATCTGAAGTGATATCATATACTGGCTTCTGTTTCTCTTGAAAGAAAGTTAAAACAACAATGATAAACTAAGGCAGGAGATGTGAGTTGTGGCAGTAGATTTTTGATTCAACATAAGTCAACCTTATATTGCTAGAGACCTCTGTGACAGACAAACAAATATTTATAGTTTTTTGATAGTTTGGATTCTTGGCTTGATTTAGCAGATCAGCTGTGAACCTTGACTTTGAAATCACATAAATGTCATGGTACCCGAACGAATCCTCGCATGACATTTCTTCGTAGCACAATTTTTCGTCCGCATTTCTTCGTCTACAAATCTTCGTCGGTGCATTTATTTGTCCCTCAATGCTTACTTTTGCATATAGGTATTTGCGTTGAAAAAGAAATGCGAGCCGATTTTCATATACCCTGATGCGAAACAAAGTAATGCGATACGAATAGGTAAATGCCCTGACGAAGATTTGCAGACGAAGAATTGTGATACGAAGAAATGCTATAAGAAGAATTGTCCTGGAATCCTTTATTGGCCATCATATATTGACCTTGATAAGATAAACGCATCATTCGCGCAATATTTGTCGCACTTTGATACTAAACTATTGCTTCCAAATGCCGACGTAAAGAAGACCTTCACGTGACGTCATAGAAACAGCGGAGTTCCCAAAAAGTAAACAAAAATAAAAGTCTTATTATCTCGAAAACGGGTGAATATTTTCCGGTAAAATTTGGTAGATGTTCATTTTCGCTCTTTGTGATTCACGCTACATCACTTTTATGCCAGTTCATTAACTTTTTTGAAGGTGGGAGGGTCCCTTTAATGATGCCTGTTTTTCTTTAGATAGTCGAGAAGTCGTCTTTAGATAGTTGCCGGATGGTTCTGATGAAAGGGGTTGAACTTAAATTACAATTCATTTTCATTTTCTATGTGGACTGCTTATTGATTGCCCCCTCTTTCGAAAAATGGAAGGATATGCGGTGACCTGGGTGTGCCGTAAATCCCCTTGACGACATTAAAGGCTGCTTCTCCTACTAACAGCATGCCAGCAATACAGTGACAATGGCCATATTTTACGTTTATTCAAGGCTTATGTCAACTCTATTACAACCTTTAGCTGTCCCAGAATCCCTGAACATGGCGTTGATAATGCCGGCCGCTCGGTTTATGATCGTTCGCCCTGTCTTCTCGGTCCTTTCGGTCTCTGGGACTGGGAGGAGTCTCTCTCGGGTGATGTCTTCTTCCCTGTCCAGTGGCGCTCGGGTTGTAATAGATTCGCCGGGCCGATCATGATCAGCCGGGACCGGTTTTTCCCAGCACAGGAGCCGCTGCGGTGTCAGCGGCGAGGGTTTGTCGGTGGCGGCACTGGTTCGTAACTGCTGTGGACGGGGAACACGGCTGTGGCTCGGCCAAATTTAGGTGGTGCTTGTCCCCTAGCTCATGATAGGTACTTGTCCCCTAGCTGTGCACAGACCAAATTGATAACGGTCCTGAAGGTATGAATGCCGGTTCAGTCATTGCCAACAGTCATCAGCACGGTTTCATTCGAACTCTTCTGGACCGAATGTGTCTGCGCTGTGAAGGCCAGCGCTGTCAAATGTCAGTGTCACTTGGTGACATGAGGCCTTCGTCAGTGGCATCTGTCAAAAGCTGCAGCAGGACAACGCTGCAAGGATCCAACGAGATCTCGCAAAAGCCATCTGCGCTCATTGCATATTTGCCACATAACAATGGAATTTCAACAATGGAATTTCATTAAATAGATTTACCTACAGGGTGTTTCACTAAAAGTGTCAAAAAGTAAAGGCTTATTAAAGATATATAAAATATGCAAAGCACGTGGTTGCGCACGTGGCTTTGTTGCAAATTTTTGGACATTTATGCTTAAGCCATTTAAGATATATTTTACACTCATACGGAGCGAGGGCAGGAGGCCAAAGTTACTAGTCGTTTTTTTTTTTCCTTATACAGAACAAGAAAAGGTTCTGTAAACACCGCAACAGGAGCGGTGGATTACACTTACATTTGGTGCTATCAGAAACAATGAAACCGTACGCTGACTTTTCAGGAAACGTTTCACTCTCTCACCTTGCTACGATCCAGATTATAAAAGTTTCAAATGGCTCCTTGAGAGGTTTAAAAGGGTTCCTTTGATGCCGGTTCCAGTCCAAAAAAAGGCGGGTCGCCCCCACCTCTCGGCGGAAATCGTTGAAAAGGTCAGGGTCTTTTTTAGGGCCTTTTAAGATAACAAGAAGCTTATTTCAGCATCAGAAATGGCCAAGCCCTTACAAGTTATCAAAAACAACCACTGTAACGGCTGTAGCCACCAAGGACTGGCTGGAACAGAAGTTCTCGGGCCGAATAATCAGCTGCCTCACCGCCCGCCCCTGGCCAGCGCGAAGCCCCGATCTGTCACCGCTTTACTTCTGGTTTTGGTCAGTAGCGTCAGTAGCTCTCGCAGAGCTGAGGAAGACTCAAGTCGCATCACTTCGGGAGCTGAAGAGCACAATGCAAGGCTTTGCCGACAGTCTGGATGCTGAAGATGAAAACGGGCTGTGAGGCACCTCCGGACACGTGCCGAAACGGTGCATCAAAAGAAGGGGCGGATATGTGGAATATGTTTGAGTGACGGTGATATCATTTTTATATATCCGAATGTCCAACAATCGCGGATGAAATTATGTGCAAATGTCCTTAGAAAACATTGTTATTATGTGCATTAGGACCTTTTACTTTTTGACACTTTTAGTGAAACACCCTATTAGGTAATAATAGTGTTACCATGACTTTATTTATTTAGTATAGTTTAATTTTTTACTTACCTGTCCTATTGACAGTTGTTGCTGCACAGATCGGTTTTTCATGGCCTTCGTCCATATGCTTATGTTTTCTATTTCATGTCATACTCTACAAAGTACAGACTAAAGAAACTTGTTCAAATGGAACTTGGGTGTACTTTCTCTAATATTTTCTTTGGGCCTGGCACTTCGGTTGGTTGTGTGACCTTTATACCGTGCAGAGTGCTGCCAAGTGGAACGAACTGGGATCAAATAGATGTCGATTAGTGTCTCATTCTGTCCACGTGTCGGGTTGTGTGGCATACCTTCAAAACTCATTGCAGGGGCCATTTTGTGGTGTTCTCGCTTCCACGTAACTCATGTCACTCTGAGACCAGACTCCAGTCCAGTTTGGTCTGCAGGTCAGCCCGGTCTCTAAGGACCAATGGTCTCTGAGGGCCAATGTATGACGCCTTTTGTGCCGTCCCAGGCCCCTGTGTAACGCTCGCTGTGTGTTCTCTGTCATCAGGGTAAGGCGGGGCTGGCCTCTGAGCTCACGGAGCCCACGCGCTCCGACCCCGACTCGGCCTGGCGCGCCCTGAACCTCACTCTGATGAGGGACAACGAGACCGAAGTCGAGTGGTGGGAGGTAGGTGCACACGATCGACCCAGAACGTAAACGCGCACTCGCATTAGTGGTGGTGCCATGCTGTATATACTGTTACAATATACACAGCAGACGAATGGATCTTACAAGCTCCAGACCAATTTTCTGGTGGTAGGTCTGCGGTCTCACGGCCGCGCTAATTTACCGTGTCACGACCGTTGCTATGTTTAGACTAGAGGAAAATCGGTGTCGCCGCTTGCGCTTATCTCTAGGAGATCGAATGCTGTCAGCGGGAGTGATCGCGCCACGCCCATGACAGACGCCTGGTGATTGCGTAGGCGATTTTGGCACGTATCTTACCTTACTGGAGGTGAAATGTCCTTTTCCGTCACGACCGTTTTCCTTATTATTAAAGGGTTAGAACTCCCACAGCCAGCGATGCCTTTAGTGATAATTATTTCTGGACAAGATTAAATTAAGAAGTAGAATGCCACCCATGTGACATTTCAATCGGCAGTGTAACTACCTTGGCCTGGTGCTGCATGTTATGCAGCTTATATATTATAAATATATACGAGTGTATATTTATTATTATAAACGCGCGCGCGCGTGCGCGTGTGCCTTGACTCCTGACCACCCGTGGTTCGTACCACCGTTCTACTGTTCTCTGACCAAGGCGTTCTCTGTATGTGTGCAGGTCCAGGAGGACTGCAGGGACAACCTGTACCGGTGGCTGCCCTATGCCACCTGCAGTCTTCTGGTGATGGTCAGCTTCAGTCAGCGCTCGTTTCCCAGCACGCTGACCTACATCACCGGAGCGGGGTAGGTCACGGGTCATGACGTCATCATCGGTAGGTCACCGGAGCGGGGTAGGTCACGCAGCATGACGTCATCATCGGTAGGTCCTGGGGCAGGGTAGGTCACGGGTCATAACGTCATCATCGGTAGGTCACGGGTGTATCACCGGAATAGGGTAGGTCAGGGCCATACGACGTCATACGTCACCAAGTCACTGGTTATGACAACACCCGCGTAGTACCTCACCGTAGCAGACCAGTCGCGTACGGGGTCCGCCGACCGCGCGATATGAAGTAGAAGAGCATGCTAAGTCACGGAAGTCACCCGTAGATCAGAATGCTGGTTGAAGGAAAGATGCAGCCTGTGATACCTCCGATACGGCCATGGTTTTGGCAAGTGCTGGGCATATATCGTAGATCAGACGGACAGGGACCCTGCAAAGTCAATATTCATTGGTATGAATCAGAGGTGAGTTATACATGAGACGAACGTAGACCAGAGAGTCATGTAGTACGACCTTGCGTGGTCTGTGTCCGGCCCGGAGAATGGGGAGCTGGGTGATCGCGGACGCCGGTCAGGTTGTACCGGACGGTGCTGCACTACTCCGAGTGGGACCGTGAAATTCCAATGAGCCACGCTGAGGTAACGATGGGCTACGAGACAAGTGCCGGTGGGTGAGAATGTTTTACACTTCCTTTGGAAGAGGGTGGGACCAATGGCTGGGTCAGCGGGAGGCGGCTGGACAGTGGACATTTTGTTGCTAGTAAAAGCCCGTGGTAACTCAACGACAATGGAATATTCATGGAAAGGAAGGCCCAGTGTGAACAGAACAGAATACCCACACAAGTTCAGCTTGCCAAGAACTTTTTTTGGCGCAGCGTGACTACCACGTCAACACTATGGTGGTAACACTAACTATGTACACAAGTGCAATTGCACAAGCTGGTGACACTGCATGTAACACTTTGATGGTGGCATGATTGCGCTAGCTCAGCGCGCGCGCGCGCGCGCGCGAGAGAGAGAGAGAGAGAGAGAGAGAGAGAGAGAGAGAGAGAGAGAGAGAGAGAGAGGGCAAGTTAACGACGCTTCACCTCTCCCTCTCCCAGCTGACAGCTCTGTCAGACAGCGTCCCCCCCCGTCATCCTGCCACTGTCAGGTCCTGTCGTGACAGCCGCACGACTGCACCCCTACCCCTACCCCTTACCCCCTACCCCTTACCCCTACCCCTTACCCCTACCCACTCCACCCCCTGCTGCCTCTGACAGGCCGAAGAACTGCCGATTTATTCAACCATTAGGATATGCTCCGTGTTTGTATGATATCGTCATTCCGTTATGCCGTTGAGATAAGAAAATTGGAAATGTCATAAATATTTGAGAACTAGATAAGAAAAATTGAAATGTAATAAGTGTTTGAATACCAGGGGCATTCCACGATAGATCGACCAAAATTTTATCAGATTTACACCCGACCATTTTTGATTTTGATGAAATCTTGTCTACAGGGTTCTCTTATGCCCTGAAGTCAATGGTGACAACGCCAGACCCCTACGGTCAGCGGTTTAGGAGATATAGCCCCGGGCATTTTGACGAGGTCACTCTGCAGAGTGATTTTTGAAGTGCTATATCTCCTAAAGGAATGAAGGAAATGCATTAAACCTTTGCATCGTTGTGATCGTGGTGAAATGGGCAATTAATTGGCCATCTCGGATTTTCAAAAAAATGATTTTGATTTTTAGCTGTGACGTCATCAATTTTTAAACTTTCTGGCTACCCCCCTAGTACATTAAAATTTGCCATTATTTTTGCTCAGAAATAAAGTTCCGTCAATTTCCTTTCGACTGGGAAAAAACAAAAATGGTAATCTTTCTACAAATATTTTATTTTATTTTTTGAAAATCGCACTACAAACTCTGATTTACAGAATCGGGTTATTAAGCAATATAAGACACATCTGCGAGGACCAGTTACTTCCAAAAAGAGGTTATCTGGGTTTCGGCATATATGTAGGGAAATACAGAATGTTAACCCTCGCCGGACCTATTAGTTTTCTACATACGCCCCGGCCGAGGGGGGTGGGGCGGGTACGACCCCCCTCGCCGTTTCGCCCCTGGTGGAGCTAGCGCGTCGCGGAAAAAACGAGCGTGTGCGCCGTTACGAGACGCAGAGATTGGTACCCGATTTTAAGGTCCTAGGTCAACCGGTGACCTCTGAGGTCAGGTCAAGTGCCCAAAGGTACGGTTCAGTTTTTGGTGAATAACTTCGCGGAAAATGGCCGCAGAGCCGCGATTTTGGCAGCATCGTGTTCGCCTCGCTCAGGCGCGTCAAATGATATACTTTTTGTTCGGGTCAGGTCAACTTGGGGTGTTGACCTCAGGTCAAGGTCAGGTCAGCACCCTAAGGTCACGAAGTTGGTCTAAAGGGGTCATGTCGCATATCATTCGATTCGGCAGGTCTTCCTGAGTCCATTGGTGGCTTTCCCGGCTCGCTAGCTCAATTTGATCAAGAGTTATTGACGAAAAACTAATATGACCTTGATGACGTCATAAATGACGTCACGAAAGGTCAACATTGCAAAAGTGACGCATCTAACCTTGCAAGGAGTGCATCAAATCACGATTCTGTGTGCTTGAGATAGTTGGAGATCGTTTCCGGCGCCAGAATAGCAGTTTGGATTTTTCCCCATTGACTTATATTTCGTGACCTCACCTAATGGTGAGGTCACGAAAATGACCTGACCTCATATGACCTTTAGGAAAAATCCGAGATATACAAGTTGTGAGACTCATAATGGATACTAGATCCTGCAAGTTTCATTTCCCTGTGACGTCTCCTCTGGCAGTGAGGGCGTTGCGAAGTTGCGACATCTGAAGACCGTGCAGAGGTTCACTTATGACGTCATAGGTCAGTGACCTGACCTGACCCAAAAATGCGGTTGGTGTCAAAAGATGCGGCTTGGATCAAAGGTCAGGTATGCCAAGTTTCAGCTCTCTACCGCCGGCGTGTTCGGAGCTATCGCGAAAAAACCCTATGGGGGGGGGGGGGGGCGGCACCCGCCCCCTCCCCTCGGCCGGCGAGGGTTAAATTAAAATATCTTACGCTTTGTTCCAGTTGCGAAAAATATTCAAGAAAATATTATTTAGGTGTTTCATAAATCCAGTCCTTCCACTGTCCGTGCCAGCTGCACCTATTTGTCGTTTCAGAGCAAATGTATGCAAATTTCATATTACAGAGTTGTTTTCAAAAAATAAAATAAAATATTTGTAGAAAGATTACCATTTTTATTTTTTGACAGTCAAAAGAACATTGACCGATCTATATTTCTGAGCAAAAATAATGACAAATTTTAATGTACTAGGGGGGTAGCCAGAAAATTTAAAAATTGATGACGTCACAGCTAAAAATCAAAATAACTTTTTTGGAAATCCGAGATAGCCAATAAATTGCTCATTTCACCGCCATCACAACGATGTACAGGTTTAATCCATTTCCTTCATTACTTTAGGAGATATAGCACCTCAAAAATCACTCTGCAGAGTGACCTCGTCAAAATGCCCGGGGCTATATCTCCTAAACCGCTGACCGTAGGGGCCTGGCGTTGTCACCATTGACTTCAGGGCATAGGAGAACCCTATAGACAAGATTTCATCAAAATCAAAAATGGTCGGGTGTTAGGCCTTGGTCGATCTATCGTGGAATGCCCCACCAGTATCTTGGTGAGAGGTGAGCGGGAAATATGGCGATGACTCCTGATCTGACGTGACTAGGCTTTAAGTATGATTTATAGCCCACTATACACGGTTGCACAACACTGAACTAAATTGATGTAGCAATCAAATTTAATTACTTGTGCGGATCATGTGGTAGAGTTACCCCAGGCAAACGTGTTTTGCAAGCTATTATCGATTGTTCCTGTTCGGTGATGACTAGCTCATGTTACTTCGTTCCGCTTTTGAGCGCGGTCATTTACCTTTCCATATTTGTTTGAAGACCAGCTGTTAAGTTGGGCCTATCGTATTGCCGTAAAAACTGCGCTTCAAATAGCTGGGTTGATATGCGTGTCCCTAGACGAAATTGTACGGAAACTCTACGTCAATTTTCGAAATGGCTTGATAGTGAACTGTTGTTAAAGAATTTGCCTATCAAATATGAGATTTCCCGTTTATAGATTTACACAATTATCGAGGAAAAGATCATTCGAAATTTAAACCATTGCATGTCCCTTCTTTTGTTGGGGAAATTTCTGGAGCCGGTTATTGTCTGTACGACTGGCCCACGAAAACAGGATCTCTTGCAATCGGCTGTCGTGATACGGTACTTACCGGTAACAGCGGGCCGAATTAAGAAACGGCGCTCCCCGTGCCGCTGATGAACGGATCCTGCTGATCAGGGATGCGGAGCCGGAGCCGGAGCCGGAGCCGGAGCCGCCGGAGCCGGCATATTTTGCCCGGAGCCGGAGCCGGAGCCGGAGCCGTGAAACAATATAGCCCGGAGCCGGAGCCGGAGCCGGAGCCGTCAAAAAAGGGGGCGACTCCGGTTCCTTTTCTTAAGAGGAAACAATTATTTACCTAATTCGGTTTGACAGTACAAGGCGTAAAACAATGTGGTATTCAAAATAGCCTTGTTATACAAATACAGAAGCAACGTGTACCAATCCCATCGCCTTTTTTCTTCCACCCGTATTTAATTGATCGCCTAGGGGATGTACTGAGTAGAAGCCGGAGTCGGAGCCGCCGGAGCCGGAGCCACCGGAGCCGGATCATTTTACTCGGAGCCGGAGCCGGAGCCGGAGCCGCCATGACATTTCACCCGGAGCCGGAGCCGGAGCCGGAGCCGATTTTTTCTCCGGAGCCGGAGCCGGAGCCGGAGCCGTCTGAAATTTCCACGGCTCCGCATCCCTGCTGCTGATGATGCTCTGAGTGTAAACGAACTTTTAGTTAGTTTCTTCTTTTGCTCTTCAGGGATCGCTTTTAATTCATATAGCCACTTTAACCAAAACTGATTTGATGTTAGGACCCCTTTTTGGAAATGTTAGCGATTAGAGAAGCTCTCACTAGACAACAGTTTCATCGGGTATGTACATTTTGAATCTGGCTAACCAGTAACCGCTACTAAGAAATACAATTCCGTTTTCAAAAGCTAACCAAAGCTCATCACCTCCTGGCGTTTGTTGGTGGGTCTTTAGCCAGTGGCCATTCCCGTCTGGTCAAATGACCTGGGGTCGCATAGCCCGGGGCTATTTCCTTCCGGTCCTATAGTGCGGAGCGTCTCCTGACCGGTCAGCTGTTTGATGAGCCAGCTGTTCATCTGCAGTGTCAGCGCGCCGCGTCTCTGACGTCACATATGCCGTCCGACGCACGTCACGAACGGTTCGCGACGGCCACGTGACGAGGTGACCCGGCCGTGACGCGCGAGGTGACCTGACCGTGACAGGCGCTGTCGGCTAGTCGTGACGCACGCCGTTAACCGCGCCTTGGCCGTTACGTAAAGGATGGTCCTAGCGACGGCCAAAGGGTGACCGGAGGCGCGACGCCTGCTGACAGTTCGAACACCAGGCATGTTTACCCCTAGCAGTGTTGCATGGCTAGTGTCAAATCCCCGCGGGTGCGCACGAAGGTTATGGCTGCAGCCGGTCTGTCGGGTCGACCCCGCTTTGGTCGACCCCAGGTCGCTTAGAGCGGCGAGACTGACTCTTCAACTCGTCCCACATCTAACGGGATGAACCGGATATCGGCGGAGCTCTGCAGCTTTCGCATCTTATATCCTTTATGGTGCGGCCGGCTATCCCCGGTAAAAGGCGAGAAGAGTCATTCATTTTCCGCCCGGTCGACCGTCTCACGTGAAAAACCCAGCGTGGGTGGCCGTAACACGCGATGGCCGGGGTATTCATATTAATATTCATATAAGTATTTGCAACTTACCGATTAACTCGGGGGTTTTCAAGCTTCATACAGATGTGAGGTCAGCAATCATACGTGCTTAATTTCACATGGGTCTTAGCAAAAACGGCGAAAACACTAGCAAGTGTCTCCGGCTCAATCATGCGCCGTACTTTAGGACGAGCTACAGAGCGTGGTGCTTTATGAGCTCGCTGTAGCTTTAAGCCAGCCGAGGACCCCCAGCAGCTCCGACACGTGATTGGTACTGCTTTGATGGAAAAGGAATACACAATGGGACGCTTGCAAGGAAATTCGTAACATACAGGAATACGCAATGGGACGCTTACAAGGAAATTCGTCAGTGTGCACGATTCCTGAGCGGATATCCAAAGCGGCTGTATTTGACATAGTAGTTCGTTACATGCATCAGTCATCAGACAATATTCCCATATGAAAATGTGGGCATCAGGTGGGCTTGCGGTAAAAACCAGCCATTGTGTCATAGGACTCAGTGCTCTGCAACATGCATTGCAGTGCACTGCAATATGCGCGTTGTCAATTAGTGAAGAATATATGCGGGATGCTTCCGAAATGATATCAGTCGGTTGTTGGTGGACGCTGACTCATATGAGCGCTGATAGGTATGTTAACCCGCGCCCCACTGGGGGGGGGGGGGGGGCTATTCATAGCCCCTCCTCCCGTTTTCTGCAATAACTTCTAAACCGCTTGACGTACGTATCGCCGCCAAACTTTCAGTACCTTCGGCTGCATCAATTTGACACCTTGTTTCAAAATTTGAACTTCGTATCTATCTTAGGTTGGCCGGAAATGACGTCAGAGTGACGTCATGTTGGGCCGATTTCGACGCAAAACATTGAACCACGGGAATCGCTCCCAACAGTTCAGTCTTTGAGCTAGATCAAAGTTCTTTGCACGAGAGGACTCGGAGTGGACTGAGCTATCAAACTGCTATCTCGAATTTTCAAAATTTTGAAAACTTCCGAAAATGATATATATATTTAAGTTCAAAATTTTTATTTTTATCTTTTTCAAAAACTTTTTGATTTTTCGAAAAAAAAACGGAATATTTATGATAGAACACATGCTTAGAACTTACTCTAGCGTGTTTTAGCCAAATATCTTCAAAAATGGCCAAATTATACGCGTTACAGCAAAAATTTCACAATTTTATTTTTTTCAAATCAATTTTTCTGTACGAATTGACATCGTACACCAATATAAATAGCACCATCGTGCTCCTGAGCTCAAACTGCATCCGATAGTCATGTTTTTTGTTGAAAATTTTCAACTATGAAATTTTACCTTTTTTGACCTGAAAGTGACCTGACCTCAGCTATATTCAGATGAAAATGGCCTCAAATGACACAGGCGACACCGAATTCGAAATCTATGGCCCAAATGGACCATAAAACATGTGTCACGTGACCGATTTATGACATAAGATTTCCGTGACCTAGGATGATCTGACCCTGACCTGAAAATCAAAGTACCTACAAGTTCCGTACCCTCAGGGTATCTAAAGCATCTGTTAACGAGTGTGTAAACCAAAAATCAGCCTGATCTGACTTGTAAGACGGCAGCCAGAGCCCCCCTCCCCCCCCCCCCAGTGGGGCGTGTTATACACAGACACCAGTGGGGCGCGGGTTAACTTTTCCCGTAAATCGTATAGTATCGCGCCGTATCTGTATTATATATCGCATCGTGACTGTGAGTCTGGATACGAATAATGGTTTAGTTACGGAATTTCTGAATTTTTGCACTAAACAGGGGCTGTAGATTTATCATTTATCTCGGTATATCATGCACGATATATGATACACACTTCTTATCAGTTCCAACGGTGCCGATTGAGGAAAACAATTCACTTTGATACATCAACGTTATACGTCTTGTGCAATGTCTCGGTGACCCCATCGTACCCATGTTCTAAATTTGGCATCAGTGAGTACGTGTTTTATGTCACATGTCGGCTAAAAATAGAGACGTCCTTTGCTGGGCACGCGGCACGGATGTGTTTTGATTTGGTAGCTGCTGCACTTCATCTTTGTAATGATACTCTGAACCAGATTCTGACTTCCAGTTCTTAAACGCTGACTTGTAAATAAGCTGAATGTTTTCTAGACGTTGATGGCACCTGTATAGATGCCAGAATGCAACGACCGGATCAATCATATACACTCTGACGGGGTCATTAGGTACATGACGCTCGACTATATGGCCGGCATACCCTCGCAACAGGGTTTGCCGCATGAGTGACCTAGCAGCTGCTTTTGAATTGTAAACCAGCCTATAAATAGCTCCCGGCACTCCCTCTGTTTATATTCGCTTCACATATATCCACTCGAAGGGCTATTTTTATCCGCCTGAAATCCATGAATGTCTGGCAGTTGTATCCATGTTGCAATCACGGACGCGCGATGGCAGATGCAGGATGGTTTATCAGATGGGCCACACCTGTTTTGTCCGGTCGGAGCGCTCCAGACATCCGTACCCCTACCCCCGACCGGTTCAGACATAGATAGGTAAGCCTGCTCAGGGCTCAGTGTAGCGCCTCGCTCATCTCCATTCGCTCCGCCGTGCCGTGAGCGTCGCTCTCATGTGACGTCGCTCTCATGTATGACGTCGCTCTCATGGGTGACGTCATGGCGCGTGCCAGCTAAGCGGTTCGTCACGCGTCATCAGTAAGTGACGCCCGTTAGATGACGCGCCGAGTATCCGGTGACGCCGGGGTCTCTGATGACGTCTGCCGGCGCGGCGTGTGCGAGGGGCCGGGCGGTACGGCGGGGTCCGCGGCGGCCGTCTCCGCTTACAGGAAGGGGCTCCGGCTCTCAATGCGCCCGGATACGATGGCGTTGTCTGCGGCGTGACGTGGCCAGGAGGAACTTGAGCACGGAATTTCACACCTTCGAGCCACACCTTTCTTTGGCGGATGGGAGAGGTTGAATGACAGTTCACAAAAGTTATACACTGCCGGCATGGATAGCGTCGTTACACGAACATAACAACAGTGAAAAACGTATTCTACACAGCGTCTGAGATATATATGTTTTATTAAGCATGCATTTTGCACAGCAAGCTGTAACCAGCCGCCCAAACTACATGTTCATTCTCTCAGCGTGTTCTTAGTTTGATGATTTTGCGCTCGTCCGGTTGTTTATGAAAGTCGAGTATACCAAAGGTGGATATGCCAAAGGGTAGATTCGAACAGGATTCCGCTGATGGGACTGTTCTGACTACCGACTACCGGCGTTCACGACCATCTGTGTCTAGTGAGCCGGACTTCTCAGAGCCTGGTTCACACCGAGCCATGCCGTCATATCGCCGGTGATATGTCTCATATCAAAAAACGCAGATAGATCATCGGTCTCGCCGATACTCACATGCGATCCTCTCCCCGATGTCCCTAATTCTTACTCCACTTTCTTCCGAAAACGCCTTTTTATGTTTCTTTCCCCTTTCAGTATTTACATACGTGTATGTTGATTGTGTACTGCATGAGACGAAGCGTGATAATTTACCTGCAGATGAGTGAGTCTTGTTACGCTAACCTCGCCCACCGTCATAACCGCTGACCGGTCTCTCTTCTGTGCCCGCAGCATCATCGGTTCATACACCACCTTCGTGCTGGTCATCGGCCGCCTGTGCCGGACCCCGTTCGTTGACATCTCCTACCATATAATGTTCGACGAACTGCCCTACGTGGATCGAATACTGCAGGTTAGTTTATAGTTGCAGTGTCTACGGGGCTAGGATTCATGGACTGAATTCTGCAAGTCAGCAAGGTCATTCGCTCATCCCCCTCCCGCCCTACCCATCCGGGCCAACCTGTGCCCGGCCTCCCAGCATATGTACATATGCTGTCGGGCCGGGCCGCCGCGCCTGCCTGTCACACGGATCATGTGCCAGCATGGTGGGCGGCTCGCTTGACGGGTCGGTGGTCAGGGGTAGCCTCACCGAGGTGCGAGGTGGCGGGGGCAGAGGCCGGGGCGGAAACAGTCGTTCCTGCTTATGAATCTAGGTTGGATGCAAATCGTGCATGGAAGGATAAGTGTGGCCGTATAGTACGCATGTTTTGCAGCTTTTATAGTGTCTGTTTTTTTTTTGTTTTTTTTTTTAGAAACGGAGTACGATGTAATGACACCGATAGGAGCTGAAAGTTAAAGATGGGTCCATATGCTGTGGATATAAAGCTGTGGGTATGTGACATGTGTGATGTTGCCTGAGTGATATGTGAAATAGAAATGTGTTCATAAAAAGGTCATACGTCACGGGCCGAGTTCGAATTCCGCTCGTGCACCGTAGCCTGACGAGGATTGCAATTTACATTTGTCTTTTCCTGTGTCGTTGCTTTAATGTCCGAATGCACTTTTATAGATACCTTTGTTCTTGATAACCATAAAAGCAGCAACAGTTGCCCAATGACGGATACAGTCTGTTATTTGTTGTCCTCGTCTATTGTCTTCGGCGAATTAGCATAAAGCGGGGTGCGCTTGAGCATAAAAGTAGTGAAGTCTGCTTCCATGCATCTTTGATGTTTGTCTTGAGAGCTTTTTTTGTGAAATTTTCAGCATAATTTTTCGCACTTGAAAGATAAATATCAGAATCTTGTGGTGAGAGCGAAGTTGACAGCTGATCTTTTTTCTTTCTTTCTTTTTTTTTTGCTGTAAAATGTCGCGACTGATTTGGGAGGTCACAAACGCTCCTAGAATAACAGCTTGTCTTCTGTGCGCATGCCTCTGTTCTCTTTCGTCACATGCACGCTCTTTGTGATTTTCAGATATGCGAGGATATATACTTAGTACGAGAAAGAGGCAACTTGGCACTGGAAGAGGAACTATTCGCGAAGTTAATATTCCTCTACCGGTCGCCTGAGATGATGATAAAGTACACAGAACCTCCGAGAGAAGATAGTCATAGCCAATAAACTGTCATCGTTCGACTGGTGTAAACTACAAACAGTGCTGGTGACATGACACTTCCTTGCGATAGTCCTGTTTCTGTTTTGGCTCAGGATGACTGGTGTGGAGGATAATGATTGGAAAGTGAACCACTAGCCGCGGCTCTGTGCTCGCATAGGGGCAGTCTGTCAACCCTGGTGCACTGCTCGAATCGGAATGACCTGCCAAAGAGTGCTCTGTCCCGCTAGAGTTGGTCATGTTTGAGTGGTGTGCCAACCTCGGTGCTCTGCTCGCACTGCGGCGATCTACCAGCCGAAGCGTTCTGCTCGAATTGAAGCTTTCTGCCAACGGTTGCGCTCGTTTCGACGTGTGGCGAGTGGAAACGGCCCGAAGGCCGGACGACTAGGACGAGCCGACCCCGAGCGCGCCTGTCAGGCCGGTGTGGGCGTGGGCGCTCCCCGGGCGTTGGCAGGTGGGCCGCCGGCTACCGACGGGCGCCTGACTGTTTTACTTGCCAGCCTTACTTGTGGACCGTTTTTGAGGAGTCTGTACGTTTTGAACGATCCTGCTGAAAATGGTAAAGAAGCAGAGGTGAGTTCTAGTGGATGTGTATATCGTTGAACGGAAAGTGTAGGACGTAGGTGTACTTTATATTGTAATCGGGGCTGGTACGACAGGTTCGTTCGCATGACTGTTTACATAGCTGAACGAAGAGCTTTTTGAACCTATTTATGCGCAGGTGTGAGACAGTGTCCTAAGTAAACCTGGTAGAAGTAATAATCTGATCGTAAGTGGTTGAATTGTAATGACGACATGTTTGCTAAAAACTATCAATCTTGTCGGTGTGGTCGGTCCAGCGCCAATAATGAATCCACGGCGGTTTTATGTTGTCTTTCATTGAATTCCTGCGTTTCGCTGCATTGTCTGAGTTGCTGATTTATGCTCAGCTGTTGTCGAGTGTCGAATGCTACAGGTCGCTCGAGAGGTCGTTTGATACGATTTTGATGTGCCTACTGATGTGCTGGTCGGCGGCTGGTGACTGCCAAACTGTGCTGGTGCCACTGCGGACGGCAGACTGTCTTTAGCCGTGCTACAACACCTCTCCCTCGTCCGCGGCTGCTGTGTGTAGCTGGGCCGTCCGACTTGTGCCACCTGCGCGGGTTTATCGCGCCTCTGACGGCCACCGCCGCGCACACTGCGTCTCTGGCGGTCCCGTGACGGCACCTCGGCTCCATATTCCGCGGTGGGCTCGTCGTGAGCTCGAGCGCACGTGCGCGCGGCGTGTCGAACCCCTGTCGCCGCGGCCCGGAGTGGGGCCGATTGCAGTTCGTTGCTCCGTACGCACCGGTACGTACGGCTGTCAGTGCGGCGCGTGTCTCAGCGGTGGTGCGAGGTTTCTGCGAACTCACCGCTCCTGTGCGACCTGATGTGGGCGCGACCTGTGTCAGCGCCGTGTGCAGCTCCATCAAATACAAGGAGATGTTTGAGCGTGAGTGTTTGAAGCATTGAATTCGAGTAAAACAGCCTGCAACATTTTTTTTAATTTCTGGGGGCTTATTTCTCACAGCTGGTAATTGGCATCATTTGAGCTAGTTTCGCGTAATGTATAAGTGCATATCGTAAAAAAAATGAATTGCTGGGTCTCAAGTAGGTACACATCTGACACCAATCATCTTTTTACTCACCAGGCTCCGAAACTCGCACCACCTGCCGCCAACTATTCTACACCCTGTGCGCTCACTCTGCCCATTCCATCCTTATATCTATTCGTTCAGCTCTCAGTTGAACTTCTATGGGCATCTGGCGACCCTGGCTGGCCCCACGAGGCACCGAGCGACGGAACGGTGACAGGCTACCGCCGACTGTCACCGTGACAAGTTACCGCGCACTGTCACCGTCGTGACTGCGCGGCTGACAGTCGTGGGGAGGGGAGGGGTGCTGTCAGCCGGACGCCCCGGACTTCGGGGGGGGGGGACGACTCTTTGACAGCCCACAACTCAATGGGGATGGAACTTCGGTACAGACCGAGTACTTCGTTGTTTGCAAGCCAGTGTATACACATTATGCAGGTTGATTTAACAAATGAAAACAAAAGTAATCATTTATCAAAAGCTTATCAGTAGGTATGCCATGATTCTTTGCAACCATGTTGCTAATTTTCCTTTGGCAAACATAAGCAACCTTAATAATGATGGTTAAAAGTGTTTTTCCCGACCTTGTGTTCGTCATTTGGACGAGTGAAAAATTTCACTTGATTTCACAGCTTGTAATTCACGGCTGCATGGTGTGGTGTGTTTCAGCCTTGTTATTTGCAAAGTTGTTTTTCTACTGCGTCGTAACGGCGTAGCGTTTCATAGGTTTTTGTTCGTAGTGCCCCTCGAGCCATGATACCTGTTACTAGGTCTACTTGGTCTAGTTACTATTATAGGGTCGCCCACAAAAAAAAAACTCTTCTAAATAATAAAGGATTTTCCCGGTCCCAGGGCAGGAATGTAGGTATACTATTACTACCGTACACTGGATAATTGCCAAATGACTTTAACATATCACGTGTCTTTCTATCGCTTCTAATTAATTACAGCTTTATCGGCATCAGCTCTCACAAACTGTTTAATAATATAAATACAATATTCCCTTACTATCATCATCGATACATCACTTTCCTACATCGAAACTTCTTACTTTATAAACAAGAGCAAAATGGCGGAATAGCTACTGCATTTTGCGCCCCCTTTAGCTTTCTCCATGGGGTGTTCTTAATGCTCGAATGAGATCGCTGTGGCGTTAAGGGTGACATACCTTTCAGGTCATGCGCATTTGTTTGTTTGTTTGTTTGTTTGTTCAGTATATTGCCAACGGGATAAGGCCTCCCACTAATAGGCAAAGTCATCCGTATAAAACAATAAATACAAGTCGTAAACAGGATATTACACCACACGCATGATCACACTTTTCATCACCATGGACCTACTGTCATGAAAAAGGTCAACATGGGGACATCGAGCTATAAAATCATTGGCAAGTCGGGGCAGTCGGCAAAACATACGTCTGTCAAGACAGCCTCAGAATCAGATTCACTTTCAGAATCACATTCGGACCCCCTTAGATTTTCATAAAAACTGGTCCATGGGTACAGTTTTGGACGCTGATTCCAATGGTGAAGTCTGTTTTTCGCCACATATTATACTTTGGGCCCTAGAGGCATTCAAAGTTTTTTGGGGCGAAGGGGGACCCCCTTAGATTTTCATAAAAACTGGTCCATGGGTACAGTTTTGGACGCTGATTCCAATGGTGAAGTCTGTTTTTCGCCACATATTATACTTTGGCCCCTAGAGGCATTCAAAGTTTTTTTGGGGCGAGGGGGGATCCCCTTAGATTTTCATAAAAACTGGTCCATGTGTACAGTTTTGGACGCTGATTCCAACGGTGAAGTCTGTTTTTCGCCACATATTATACTTTGGCCCCTAGAGGCATTCAAAGTTTTTTTGGGGGGAAGGGGGACCCCCTTAGATTTTCATAAAAACTGGTCCATGTGTACAGTTTCGGACGCTGATTCCAACGGTGAAGTCTGTTTTTCGCCACATATTATACTTTGGCCCCTAGAGGCATTCAAAGTTTTTTTGGGGCGAAGGGGGACCCCCTTTGATTTTCATAAAAACTGGTCCATGGGTACAGTTTTGGACGCTGATTCCAATGGTGAAGTCTGTTTTCGCCACATATTATACTTTGGGCCCTAGAGGCATTCAAAGTATTTTTGGGCGAAGGGAGACCCCCTTAGATTTTCATAAAAACTGGTCCATGGGTACAGTTTTGGACGCTGATTCCAACGGTGAAGTCTGTTTTTCGCCACATATTATACTTTGGCCCCTAGAGGCATTCAAAGTTTTTTGGGGGCGAAGGGGGACCCCCTTAGATTTTCATAAAAACTGGTCCATGGGTACAGTTTTGGACGCTGATTCCAATGGTGAAGTCTGTTTTTCGCCACGTATTATACTTTGGGCCCTAGAGGCATTCAAAGTTTTTTTTTTTGGGCGAAGGGGGACCCCCTTAGATTTTCATAAAAACTGGTCCATGTGTAGAGTTTTGGACGCTGATTCCAACGGTGAAGTCTGTTTTTCGCCACATATTATACTTTGGCCCCTAGAGGCATTCAAAGTTTTTTGGGGCGAAGGGGAACCCCCTTAGATTTTCATAAAAACTGGTCCATGGGTACAGTTTTGGACGCTGATTCCAATGGTGAAGTCTGTTTTTCGCCACATATTATACTTTGGGCCCTAGAGGCATTCAAAGTTTTTTTGGGGGGCGAAGGGGGACCCCCTTAGATTTTCATAAAAACTGGTCTATGTGTACAGTTTTGGACGCTGATTCCAACGACGAAGTCTGTTTTTCGCCACATATAATACTTTGGCCCCTAGAGGCATACAAAGTTTTTTGGGGCGAAGGGGGACCCCCTTAGATTTTCATAAAAACTGGTCCATGGGTACAGTTTTGGACGCTGATTCCAATGGTGAAGTCTGTTTTTCGCCACATATTATACTTTGGGCCCTAGAGGCATTCAAAGTTTTTTTTTGGGGCGAGGGGGGACCCCCTTAGATTTTCATAAAAACTGGTCCATGTGTACAGTTTTGGACGCTGATTCCAACGGTGAAGTCTGTTTTTCGCCTCATATTATACTTTGGCCCCTAGAGGCATTCAAAGTTTTTTTTGGGGGGGAAGGGGGACCCCCTTAGATTTTCATAAAAACTGGTCCATGTGTACAGTTTTGGACGCTGATTCCAACGGTGAAGTCTGTTTTTCGCCACATATTATACTTTGGCCCCTAGAGGCATTCAAAGTTTTTTGGGGCGAAGGGGGATTCCCTTTGATTTTCATAAAAACTGGTCCATGGGTACAGTTTTGGACGCTGATTCCAATGGTGAAGTCTGTTTTTCGCCACATATTATACTTTGGGCCCTAGAGGCATTCAAAGTTTTTTTGGGCGAAGGGCTACCCCCTTAGATTTTCATAAAAACTGGTCCATGGGTACAGTTTTGGACGCTGATTCCAATGGTGAAGTCTGTTTTTCGCCACATATTATACTTTGGGCCTTAGAGGCATTCAAAGTTTTTTTTGGGCGAAGGGGGACCCCCTTAGATTTTCATAAAAACTGGTCCATGTGTACAGTTTTGGACGCTGATTCCAACGGTGAAGTCTGTTTTTCGCCACATATTATACTTTGGCCCCTAGAGGCATTCAAAGTTTTTTGGGGCGAAAGGGGACCCCCTTAGATTTTCATAAAAACTGGTCCATGGGTACAGTTTTGGACGCTGATTCCAATGGTGAAGTCTGTTTTTCGCCACATATTATACTTTGGGCCCTAGAGGCATTCAAAGTTTTTTTTGGGCGAAGGGGGACCCCCTTAGATTTTCATAAAAACTGGTCCATGGGTACAGTGTTGGACGCTGATTCCAATGGTGAAGTCTGTTTTTCGCCATATATTATACTTTGGGCCCTAGAGGCATTCAAAGTTTTTTTGGGGCGAAGGGGGACCCCCCTAGATTTTCATGAAAACTGGTCCATGTGTACAGTTTTGGACGCTGATTCCAACGGTGAAGTCTGTTTTTCGCCACATATTATACTTTGGCCCCTAGAGGCATTCAGATTCACTTTCAGAATCACATTCGGACCCCCTTAGATTTTCATAAAAACTGGTCCATGGGTACAGTTTTGGACGCTGATTCCAATGGTGAAGTCTGTTTTTCGCCACATATTATACTTTGGGCCCTAGAGGCATTCAAAGTTTTTTTGGGGGCGAAGGGGGACCCCCTTAGATTCCAATTCCTTCGCCCAAAAAAAAAAACTTTGAATGCCTCTAGGGCCCAAAGTATAATATGTGGCGAAAAACAGACTTCACCATTGGAATCAGCGTCCAAAACTGTACCCATGAACCAGTTTTTATGAAAATCTAAGGGGGTCCCCCTTCGCCCCAAAAATTTTGAATGCCTCTAGGGGCCAAAGTATAATATGTGGCGAAAAACAGACTTCACCGTTGGAATCAGCGTCCAAAACTGTACACATGGACCAGTTTTTATGAAAATCTAGGGGGGTCCCCCTTCGCCCAAAAAAAAACTTTGAATGCCTCTAGGGCCCAAAGTATAATATGTGGCGAAAAACAGACTTCACCATTGGAATCAGCGTCCAAAACTGTACCCATGGACCAGTTTTTATGAAAATCTAAGGGGGTCCCCCTTCGCCCCCAAAAAACTGTGAATGCCTCTAGGGGCCAAATTATAATATGTGGCGAAAAACAGACTTCACCATGGGAATCAGCGTCCAAAACTGTACCCATGGACCAGTTTTTATGAAAATCTAAGGGGGTCCCCCTTCCCCCCCAAAAAAATTTGAATGCCTCTAGGGGCCAAAGTATAATATGTGACGAAAAACAGACTTCACCATTGGAATCAGCGTCCAAAACTGTACCCATGGACCAGTTTTTATGAAAATCTAAG